ACTGTTGATGTTGGGACTCTCTGAAACGTCTCAGCCTTTAGCCGCTCCGTCCTCGTTAGCATGCACGCTCTAGTCCCCGGTGGTGTTCTGTGGTCGTGGGCCGCTCCCCCCCGGTGGCCCCCCTGGTGGCCTCCCCGGTGGCCCCCCCGGTGGCCCCCCTGGTGGCCCCCGCAGTCCGGGCCTGCAGCAGGACAGCAGCTCGGCCAGCGCCCGCCGCACCTCCCGCTGCCAGAAGGCGTAGACCAGAGGGTTGATGAGGGAGTTGCAGAGGCCCAGCAGGAACAGGTATCCCTCCAGGAGCTGCGTGAGCTGGCAGTCCCCACACAGCAGCTTCACCACCCCCACCACGAAGAACGGGCACCAGAGAACCAGGAAGCAGCCCACCAGCAAGGCCACGGTGCGCAGGGCCCGGACGTGGCTCCAGTACGGGCTCCTCGACTGCAGAAGAACAAGATTTACAACCACTTAAAACGTCTCACGGTCGTCATGCAAACACTTCAGATGCTGCACACAAAACACAAACATTTCAACATTTTATCATTTTGTAAAAACACCACTTTTTTAAGTAGGAAAATGTGAAATAATCTCTGTCTCATCAACGAGAGCCGTCATGGTTCATCTTCATCTCCACTTTACTACAGTCAGAAACAGCACTCACAAGGGTTATGGAACCAGGGGGGACCAGGGGATAACCAGGGAGAACCAGGAGGAACCAGGGGGGACCAGGAGGGGACCAGGAGGGGACCAGGGAGAACCAGGAGGGGACCAGGGCGAACCAGGAGGGGACCAGACGGGGACCAGGAGGGGACCAGGGAGAACCATGGGAGAACCAGGGGAGAACCAGGAGGGGACCAGGTGGGTGATTGTGATGGTGATTTTGGCCAATAACTTTCAAAAATCTCTCATCATCAAAATCAAGCCTAACACCAGATGTGGCAGATTTCAGTTTTCTTGATGAACTTCTTCGTACTTACATTGAAATTACTTTTGTGTAGCTCTAATTCACAACAGCACTTTACAAAATTGTCGATTTGCCAATAACTGATCAGAAAATCAAATAATCAAGACACGAGGAATACAATAATAACCCTAACCCTATTGTTCATAGTTTCATTTGCAAAACTTTTGAAATAGAATTCATTTTTATCTTAATTGTTCATAAGGGAAAAGACAAACAAAGCAGTTCTCTGTGGAATCAAAAGAAAAGGATAAAAAAGCAGAAGTACCTTGCTGAGCTGGTCCGTGGGCCCGTTGGTCTCGCTGGTCCGGGAGCCGGCCTGGTGCACCTGCAGGATCTGCCTCTGGTGGCTGCAGGCGATCTTCAGGATGTCAAGATAAATGTAGATGAAGACGGAGACCACGGGGAAGAAGCAGACGCTGTAGAGGACGATGATGCCCACGTCGTAGATCACAGAGAAGAAGTCACAGAAGCCGCTGTACTGGTCGGACTGAAGGGACGGAACCACCACTGCCCCGGGACCAACAACAAAGTATTCATTATTCATTCTACAAAACCATATCAAGAAAAACATTTAGATATAAACGATTCAGAAAGGAGTAGGTAGAATAATGTATCAGTTTCATAAAGCGCTTTCAGGACTCTTTAAGTCTCTTCACAAATTTATTCTTTCTCCAAATGCTGTGATGACAAACTACTACTGTAGCCACAGCTGCCCTGGGGCACACTGAAGTGAGGCATCAGTCTGTGCCATCAGCCCCTCCCACCACCACCAACCGTTCACACACACACCAGACTCATTCTACTGTGGCACCTGGTGTTCCCAGAGGTCTCCCATCACAGCACTAACCAGGCCCTGCTCTGCTTAGCTTCAGAGGTCTGATAGGCTTTTCACCTGCAGGTGGCGCCACATGGATTAAGGTAAATTACCCTTTTTAAAGATTCTTTCTTTAATTACTTTTACAGTTTTACAAATGACTCCATTTTCACTGACTTTCAAGACCCATTGTTTATTGTGTGTTTTAACCACAGACTGTTTATATTAACGGACAGAGTCAGGTCTATCTGCGCCGTTCTAACTAATGGGCCAAAAATGGGCTCTACTGGAGCTATCCAAAATGGCCGCGAGTGGCCCCGCCCACAAGAAAATGGTGAAAAACACATCTGTGCATGCGTCAGCCGGAGAGAGCTCCATTCATTTAAACGAGAGACTTCTAAAGTCCACAGCGACTAAACTAGACTGGTCCAGAACACTCAGCATTGACACACATGTGGAACGGAGCTTTGGGCCAAGAGACACTGGTCCATCCTGTAAAGACGTTTTCCAGAGGTCAGCTAATGCTATATGTTAGCATTGGCTAATTCTTATTCCGGGTCCACCCCCACAGGCCCGGGGTGGTACTGCAGCATGTCAGCGCACGTCATTTTGGACACTTTTGAGCCGGGACCCTCTCCCACTGGTTGTGACTATGAAAAATATGAAACCAGATTCTGAAAGGTTGGACCATCTACTTTCATCTGCAAAAATACGTCGGTATCTCGCTAATTGTTCTGCTGTAATCTTCAGTCGAACAGAGAGAAGTTTGACAGAAATCACCAGTCTCAGCTAAATACGTCCGTATAATGATCACTCCTTGAAGAAAGCAATTTAATCTAATGTTTTGATTTTCTAAGGAGCATAAATAATAGATTTTTCCTTTTTTTTTACCAAGAGTTTTAGGCCTTTACCAAAAGGTCGAGATGCAGTTTGATGGTAAAGTGCCTAAAACCAAGTGCTAGAGATTCAGTCCCAAGCTTCAAGTAGATCCAGATCAAAAAGTGATCCACAAATGGAAGAGAATCTATTAAAGGGTTAAAGGTGTTTGATCCTGAGGGAGACTGAGACAATATTCACACTTTCAACAACACTATTTTAAAAGGGATGATAAAGAATCTCTACATCTGCTTTCAATGATTTATTTTGCTTGAGTTCAGACCTGGTAAGAATCCCAAGACGACGGCACAGACCCAGAGCGAGACCAGGGCCCAGAACGCCACTCCTTTGCCCGACCGCCGCGCGTAACTCAGCGGCGTCTTGATGGCGGCGTAACGGTCCAGCGAGATCAGGAACATGGACATGATGGAGGCGATGCACGGCGAGCTCACGAAGGTCATCCTCAACAGACACCTGCCGCGGCCGTGACCAGCCACGGCGGCCATGTTGGACTGCCTGCTCTGCGTGGCGTTGTTGGTATCCCCAATCTCCGAGTTGAAATCCTCCGTGGCCAAACCGGTGATGGCCACGCCCACCAGAGTGTCCGCCACGGCCAGGTTCAGCACGAAACACCAGCTCTGACGCTTCTTCTTCAGCAGGATCCTGAGCAGAGCGGCGGCGACCAGGAGGTTGGTGGAGACGATGCAGCAGGAAGCGATGATGAGGATGACGGCCATTGTGTGCGGCTGGAGGGCGGTGGAGGAGTCCGAGTTCTGCGACGGGGTTAGCGGACGAGCTAACGCCGCGTTGTGAGTGAGAATGGACATGTTTACAGAGAGATGTCAAGCGATAATCCTCAAAGCAGCTAGCATCGCTACGTACAGGTCAAAAACAACTGAGATTTTTGGTTCAAACGGGAATTTATACAAACATTTGAATATGGAAAGCTTCAATAAGCATCTTAGAAAATAATAGTAGTAGCAGTAGTCAGTAGTATAATGTCTACTGTCTCACCCTCGTATGCCTCACATCTTAGTTAATATATATTTTACTATTTCTTGAGCGTTGGAATGACACCAGAGCTAACCACATTAGCTGCACTTCTTATTTACACTCAAATTAAACTGATGTCTCTAGCTAACAGCTAACAAGAGCTAACAAGAGCTAACCAAACTAGCAGCACAATTACTGTTTATCTGAGAATCAAATTATCTTATATTAGATCTAAAACATACAACAGTAATGTCTTTGTAGCATCAGCTAACGATAAGCCAAAAGCTAGCCACATTAGCATTAGCGGCACAATTGTTTTGTTTGTCAATAAAATGCTCAAAATTAGATGAAAAAGGCATGTTCTGTCGACCAAAACCTACTCAACACAGAATATGGACTTTTAAACTATAACTGAAAAGAACTGCTAACAACTAAAGGCTAATGGCTAATGGCTAATGGCTAAAGGCTAACGGCTAATGGCTAACAGGTAATCTTTTTTAACTAGGATACAGCAATATCAACAATCAGCAAAAGGAGCTAAACCAGTTTGATACTTAATCACAAACAAGATGCATTAACTTCAATATGTTCATTTCCTATCAATCAAATACAAAAACAGCAGAACTTCTCAAATAAATGATCCCGGGAGCCAAAATGTGTTTTGTAAAGAAGTAGTGGACGAGTTAGCAAGTACCAACCAGACGTACCATAACTAACCCTAACACGAGGTACACAAACTACACTGCTTGAATCTCCACAGAATGTTATTGAATGGGAATAATATCAGTCTTTGCCTAAAACATTACATTTAAAAATTATTTATTTGTTTGTGTCATTTCTAGACCGTTTTGCTTTTGAATCCAAATCCATAAATGGATATTTGAGGATTCTAAATGTTCCTCCCACTCACAGCACTAAAGAAACACTAACTATGACAGAAGTGCAGCTTTAGAGCCAGATTCAAGTCCTTCCAAAACTCAGATTGTTTGACAAAAATAAGCAAAATTCTAACTAATTTTCAATAACAAACGATTACTTCTCTTCCAATATACAAATTCTTCACAAAAAATTGCTTTTTTCAATGTGAAAAATACAATCCATTTGTTATATTTGATCAAAATGAAGCATGTTCCCAGAGAAGTCCCAGGGTTTCCATAGTGTCTCAGCCGTGGCCTGAATGAGGGCTTCTGCAGAGACTGAGCCCCCAGCAGTGACAGGCCCCGCCCACCGACCAAATATGGACTTCCCTGATTTCACAGGAGAAAATATTTGTTTAAGAAATCTCCAGCTGCTGCAGAGGTTCATGTGTTCAGTGTGTTCGCAACAACTACAATAACTACAGTAACTACAGTAACTACAGTAACTACAGTAACTACAGTAACTACAATAACTACAGTAACTACAGTAACTACAGTAACTACAATAACTACAGTAACTACGGTAACTACAGTAACTACAGTAACTACAGTAACTACAATAACTACAGTAACTACAGTAACTACAATAACTACAGTAACTACAGTAACTACAATAACTACAGTAACTACAGTAACTACAGTAACTACAGTAACTACAGTAACTACAGTAACTACGGTAACTACAATAACTACAGTAACTACAATAACTACAGTAACTACAGTAACTACAATAACTACAGTAACTACAGTAACTACAATAACTACAGTAACTACAGTAACTACAGTAACTACAATAACTACAATAACTACAGTAACTACAGTAACTACAATAACTACAATAACTACAATAACTACAGTAACTACAGTAACTACAATAACTACAGTAACTACAGTAACTACAATAACTACAGTAACTACAGTAACTACAATAACTACAGTAACTACAGTAACTACAGTAACTACAATAACTACAATAACTAGAGTAACTACAGTAACTACAATAACTACAGTAACTACAGTAACTACAGTAACTACAATAACTACAGTAACTACAATAACTACAGTAACTACAATAACTACAGTAACTACAGTAACTACAGTAACTACAATAACTACAATAACTACAGTAACTACAGCAACTACAGTAACTACAGTAACTACAATAACTACAGTAACTACAGTAACTACAATAACTACAGTAACTACAGTAACTATAATAACTACAGAAACTACAGTAACTACCATAGTAACCATGTAGTAACCATGTACTAACCATGTGGTAACCATGTATTTACCACATAGTAACCATGTAGTAACCATGCAGTAACCATTTGGAAACCATGTAGTAACCATGTAGTAACCATGTAGTAACCATGTGGTAACCATGTGGTAATCATGTGGAAACCATGTAGTAACCATGTAGAAGCCATGTAGTAACCATGTAGTAACCACATAGTAACCATGTAGTAACCATGTAGTAACCACATAGTAACCACATAGTAACCATGTAGTAACCATGTACCTCCACATGTATGTGTAAATCCGAAAGATCATGTCTAAAGGGCCACAGCCGCAGCATTTTAAAGCTTTAGTTAAACTCTAACCTGTCACTCATGAACACATTTAAAGCTTTAGTTAAACTCTAACTTCCTGTCACTCATGAACACATTTAAAGCTTTAGTTAAACTCTAACCTGTGGCTCATGAACACATTTAAAGCTTTAGTTAAACTCTAACCTGTCGCTCATGAACACATTTAAAGCTTTAGTTAAACTCTAACCTGTCGCTCATGGACACATTTAAAGCTTTAGTTAAACTCTAACCTGTCGCTCATGAACACATTTAAAGCTTTAGTTAAACTCTAACCTGTCGCTCATGAACACATTTAAAGCTTTAGTTAAACTCTAACCTGTCGCTCATGAACACATTTAAAGCTTTAGTTAAACTCTAACCTGTCACTCATGAACACATTTAAAGCTTTAGTTAAACTCTAACCTGTCGCTCATGAACACATTTAAAGCTTTAGTTAAACTCTAACCTGTCGCTCATGAACACATTTAAAGCTTTAGTTAAACTCTAACCTGTCGCTCATGAACACATTTAAAGCTTTAGTTAAACTTTAACCCGTCACTCATGAACACATTTAAAGCTTTAGTTAAACTCTAACCTGTCGCTCATGAACACATTTAAAGCTTTAGTTAAACTCTAACCTGTCGTTCATGAACACATTTTAAAGCTTTAGTTAAACTCTAACCTCCTGTCGCTGACACAAAAACAATAGTAACCATGTAGAAACCATGTTGTAACCCTGCAGGAACCATGTGGTAACTATGTAGTAACCATGCAGTAACCATGTAGTAACTATGTAGTAACCATGTGGTAACCATGCAGTAACCATGTGGAAACCATGTTGTAACCATGCAGTAACCATGTAGGAACCATGTAGTAGCCATGCAGTAACCATGTAGTAACTATGTAGTAACCATGTGGTAACCATGCAGTAACCATGTGGAAACCATGTTGTAACCATGCAGTAACTATGTAGGAACCATGTAGTAGCCATGCAGTAACCATGTAGTAACTATGTAGTAACCACGTGGAAACCATGTTGTAACCATGTAGTAGCCAGGTGGTAACCATGTAGTAACCACATAGTAACCATGTACTAACCATGTGGTAACCATGTATTTACCATGTGGCAACCATGTAGTAACCATGCAGTAACTATGTGGTAACCATGCAGTAACCATGTAGTAACCATGTGGAAACCATGTAGTAACCATGTAGTAACCATGTGGTAACCATGTAGTAACCATGTAGTAACCATGTAGTAACCATGTAGTAACCATGTAGTAACCATGTGGAAACCATGTAGTAACCATGTGGTAACCATGTGGTAACCATGTGGTAACCATGTGGTAACCATGTAGTAACCATGTAGTAACCATGTAGTAACCACATAGTAACCATGTAGTAACCATGTAGTAACCATGTACCTCCACATGTATGTGTAAATCCAAAAGATCATGTCTAAAGGGCCACAGCCGCAGCATTTTAAAGCTTTAGTTAAACTCTAACCTGTCACTCATGAACACATTTAAAGCTTTAGTTAAACTCTAACCTGTCGCTCATGAACACATTTAAGGCTTTAGTTAAACTCTAACCTGTCACTCATGAACACATTTAAAGCTTTAGTTAAACTCTAACCTGTCGTTCATGAACACATTTAAAGCTTTAGTTAAACTCTAACCTGTCACTCATGAACACATTTAAAGCTTTAGTTAAACTCTAACCTGTCGCTCATGAACACATTTAAAGCTTTAGTTAAACTCTAACCTGTCACTCATGAACACATTTAAAGCTTTAGTTAAACTCTAACCTGTCACTCATGAACACATTTAAAGCTTTAGTTAAACTCTAACCTGTCACTCATGAACACATTTAAAGCTTTAGTTAAACTCTAACCTGTCGCTCATGAACACATTTAAAGCTTTAGTTAAACTCTAACCTGTCGCTCATGAACACATTTAAAGCTTTAGTTAAACTCTAACCTGTCGCTCATGAACACATTTAAAGCTTTAGTTAAACTTTAACCCGTCACTCATGAACACATTTAAAGCTTTAGTTAAACTCTAACCTGTCGCTCATGAACACATTTAAAGCTTTAGTTAAACTCTAACCTGTCGCTCATGAACACATTTTAAAGCTTTAGTTAAACTCTAACCTCCTGTCGCTGACACAAAAACAATAGTAACCATGTAGAAACCATGTTGTAACCCTGCAGGAACCATGTGGTAACTATGTAGTAACCATGCAGTAACCATGTAGTAACTATGTAGTAACCATGTGGTAACCATGCAGTAACCATGTGGAAACCATGTTGTAACCATGCAGTAACCATGTAGGAACCATGTAGTA